ATTCGTGACACCACTTCAAGAGGACAGTAACAGAGGCAGCTATGATCCCGAAGTCATTAAAAAAGTCTTAGAGGGGCATTACCAGGGCAGGGCACCCGTGCAAATATCCAGCTGCTCAGCAGCACAGATGTGCTCAAGCCCTAAAACACACCAATACCTCCACATGCCTTCCAGTTGTCTCAGCGCAGGCAGAATCGGCCTGCCCCTGCCCATGAATGGCAAACATAGGCACCAACTCTCTCCCAGGCCTGCATGCCCTCCCTGGTATGCAAAAGCTTCTTCAACACCAACATGACTGAGCCAGAAACCTCCTCAGACAAATGAGTGCAAATATTTAAACAGGCAGGACTGGATAATGTTAATTCCTACTATATGATGATCGATATCCTCAGTAACTAATGGACAGTAACGTACACTATCATCTTTAAATGTCAAAGCACTCTGCTGCTCTTATAAATACACAGCAGAGAGGCTGAACATTGCCTTCCCATCAGCAGTTGTATCCTCTCCAGCTGCTCACTGACTTGCACCAATGGTCTCCAACTGGCACATCACAGGTTGCTTCCAGGCAACTGGGCCCAAAACAGAATCTGGTCTGGTTTGGATTCCTCCTTGAGAACCCCAGGGGTACAGCAGGGAGCTGGCTGGGGGCCGGAAGAGTTATTCTTGTGCTCCTAGCAATCCAGGGGTCCCTCAAAGGCAGGCCAGCATTTAGCTAGGACACATACTTTATAAAACGTGCGGCAAATCCAGTTCTGCAGCATGCCAAGAGCCACAACAGAGAGCCCTCACGTCCTCCCGAGGCTCTGGCTTGTGCTGGCACGTGGCCTGCTCCATTGCCTGGGCTTCTTTTATGCTTGGTGTAGTCACTTTCATTCAAACTTTGTCACTCAGCTGTTGGGGTTCTGTATTTCATTGCACTTGGTGTAAACTGTTCCTTCTCTATCCCACTTCACTGTCACCTGTTACACAGTGTTTCTTTTATTTAGTCCTTCATTACTGTTTTCCTTCTGTCACTGATCTAGAATAGCTTTTTAGCTAACATTGTTTCTCCTCCAAACCTGAAGCAGCACAAAAACATCCATTTGTACTCTTGAAACTCCATTAAAAAAACTTGCCCCTAGTCATTATCAGCCTTGAGGAACCAGCCTGCCCACCAGCTTCCCCAATAACCAAATCCACCTCTGACCATCTGGGACCACCCCTCATCCTGAAGCAAAGGCCACCTTCCTGGCCAGTACTTTCCACACCACAGCACTCACCACCGAGCGCTAAACAGGCATCTCTCATTTCTCTGTTGGGAAAATGATGCCACCTTTTACTGCAGCAAACACTGCAAGGAGGTAACTCTTCAAAATAACTTCCCCACGAAGATAACACCACGTCACTGCCCCACCTCCATCAAACAGAAGACGTATGCGTTTAAAAAGCCATTCCCCCTCCCCTCTGGTTCAATGGAGGGACCTATGGTAGGCCGTACCTGCTTGGCGTTGATGTGATAGACTGAGAGCTGCTGCAAGGCTGCGGACACAGCGTCGCCGTCCCTGGAGAACAGCTCCGCCATCACCTCCCCGATGTTACTGTAGGGTATGGGCACACCCAGCAGCAGGGCCACAGTGGGTACCAGGTTCACCTGGGGAACGGCCTCAGGCTCCTGGAGAGACAGGGGAGCAATCAGAAATTCAGAAAGAACACAGCAATGTGGCTTTTCAGTCGGGCTAGAGGATGGTGGGGAAGACATCCCTGTTCACAGGGGAATCTGGGGAAGCCAGGAGAGGGAAAAACACAGGGGAAGGCAGAGGCAGAGCTCTGCCCTCCCTGAGTGCCCTGCCGAGGGGAAGATGCCTGCTGGGAGCTGCAGTCCTTAGGTCTGGCCCTGGCTGTCTAACAGCTCACCTGTCCCCACTCAGACACCCCTTGCAGCTGGAGGGGCCCAAACATTGGTCCCAAACGTTTCAGTTACCTGCATCCTGTATCAGCCTTTCCATTCGTCTCTTGGGAAAGGTGACAGATTCCCCACCCCTCTCTGTCTAAACAATCCCAATCAAATCGTTACTCTCTGTAACCCCAGGATGCAGTTTTTGCCCCTGGATGCCACCTCAGGCAGTGGCAGCTAAGGATCAGCTTCTTCTCACCTCAGGAGGGCCAGTGCTGAATAGGGGTGTTTTGCTGTACACAAATAGTGCTGCGTTCACTTCCTTCTCGCTGTCGCCGCCATGGTCTCCGGTCTCTGTCATGCCGTGGTCCCCAGCCACCAGAAGAAGGGTGTCATTCCCCAGGTGATCCACCAAGGACCTGTCACCAGGATAAGGAAAGTCAACCCCTACCTGGGTGGGGTCCCAGGTAGCCCAGGTGGGAGAGGACATGTCCCCACCAAGCCTGCCAACATGACAGAGGTGAAGCCCACAAAAGGATCTGAACAAAACTACGTGCGGATGCAGAGCTGTAACAGCTGAGCCAGGGACCAGGGCAATGGATGCTTTAAAACCAAACTGAAAAATCAGAGCCCTGAGACAGAGAGGAGTGATCTCACTTAGGTCCTCAGTGAACAGTGGCTGGTTCCTCAGTGCCTTTAGGGTTCTTGACAAAATGCAATTCAGAAGAAAGGTTCCCAACAGGAACAAATTTTAGGCTGCTTCTGTTTGGGTCTTGTACATTGCATCATGTTGTGTGAACAATCTCTTACTTTTAAGGAAAAAAGAAGGGATTTGTCCCTGAGGGATGCAGTAGGTATCACACAATATATACTGTATTCTCAGGTGCAGGAGAGCAAGTTATCCACTCCTTCCAGCAACAAAAATTAAAGCAGTCCTAAGTCAAAAGCCGCAGCGTTTTGGGCTGAGGCAGGGATGCATGATCAGGATTTCTGGATCCTATTCTGCCATCTAACACAAAGGCACAACTCATGGGCCTGTGCAGTAAATGTAACATTCCCTAGCAATGGTTATCCAACTGCTTCTCAAACGTTAGCCAAACCTCAGTGTGACAATCTCCATTTTAAAGACAGGGAGAGTGAGGCTCAGCCGTACTCCAGCTGCATCATCACCTGTCTGAGAACCCAGGCTCCAAGACCTGAAGACAGCCTTACCTCTGAAACCAAACCTCTCGTCAACATGTGTCTACACAACCAAGACTGCCCCATAGCTGCTGCTGCTGGCCAAAGCCATTCTCTGTGTTAACAGGCACAGTAAGCGTTCCTTGTTGCCCTCTGCATCTGTAAATTCCCTGGGAAGACCCCACCAGCCTGGCTGAAGGAAGACGCCAGCTGGAAACCCCCACATCGCCGCGCTAGTCACCTGAGCATCTCATTCATCTGGGTGAGCTTCTTAGCCATTTCGGGATGGTCAGGTCCGTGTTTGTGCCCACAGTGGTCCACACCGAGGAAGTGAGCAATCAGCATGTCCCATTCACCACTGTCCACTGCAGAACAAGAGTAGCCTTGTCACATACTAGCCTGGGATTCAGGCACAGGCTCAAGATCCTCCTGCCAGAGCTTTCTGGTTGCCTCTGGAAACTGCTGTTTCTTCCCCTCCTGCCACTGTCACTCCCAGCTCTCAAGTGGATTGATGCAGGTTTTAACAGAGGCACACTTGGTCTGCAGGTGCCTGGGTGCAACACTGCAGAGAGCTCAATGCCCGCAAGCGCCCCAGTATCCATGGTTTTTGTACACCACTCCTCAGGAGAGGAATGGCCCAATGTCACCCAACTCACTTTGAAATATGCTTAACTCAAATTGCCATAAATGGAGCTAAAGTATGGGGATGCTCAGGAAAAGAACCCAGAACTCCAGTCCTTCCCTGGAGATATTTTAGGTCAGACTCACCAATGTGCCCCTCTGCATCCCACCCAGGACGTGGGCACGGCACACCAATGCTATCCCTAGCTAGAAAGTTACCCCAGCCTCTCCCCTCTGCTTCAGGGTCTCAACACATGAAAACCAATGTATTTGGAATTAAATGATAAACTGTGGCTCTCCCACAAGGCACAAGAACTTACCTGTGAAAGGCCACTACACCCTTGATTTACTTAAGATTCATACACAGATAAAGCATTCCCCTGAGCATTCCCCTCAGTGTTAGGACCTCAGGGAGGAGTCTGAAATCACCTAAAACTCACAAATCCATCTCCCACTTCACCTTCTTCCCAAGACTGAGAGCCACTGATACTCTGCTGAGAGCAGTGCTGTGCCCCAGCCTCCTGGCTGCACTGCTGGGTATTTCCTAGGGCACTGTGTGCCTGCCCAGGCAGCCATATGTCCGAAGTTAAGCTGCTCCTCCTGCTCCATCCCGGCAGTGTATTTCTAGGACAGATGTAGAAGTCTAACCTTGACCCATCAAGCTACACTCTTTTTTTTTTTATATAGAAACAGTTTACAGGCCCCAAAAGCTGGCTTATCTGAGGAAATCCAGCTAAAGCACTGTAATTCCCAAGCAGCAGTGTGTGACCACACAGTGCCACTCCTTAATAGAAAAAACCCTTCAGTCCCACCCCAAACTTGCAGTAGGACCCCCATATAACGTAAAGGGTTATACAGGCCCTGGGGGAAGAGCTGCTTACCAGCCGGGTAGAGATGCTGCAGGATCCCATCATCCACAGTGTGAAGATCCTTCACGTTAAAAGAAGGGAAGAAATACGAGCGGAAAAACTTCTTCGGGAAGAGTCCTTCCCAGGTATCATCCCCCATGAAGACCACTCTCCTTCCTGAGTCAGCAAGAAATAAATTAATGAGAGCAGGGAGGCCATGCAAGTCACGCTGTTACCTACACTGCTGCAAAGAGCCTGGGCAGATGCAGATCAGGGTCTGGGGCGCTGGCTCCTCTCCAACCCACACTCAAAAGCGACCTACAGTTAAAACGACCATCTGGCTGTAAATGAGTCTGAATATGGGGAATGACCAGCCCTGTTTCTAAGCCTCCAAGTGGCCTCCCCCACCAAATCCACGTGCACAACCTCACAACTTATTGTTGACCTCTGACACATCATCCCAGCAGAAAAAGCCGTGGGTTGAACAGGCCAGGAAGCAGGCAGGTACCCACCCATACTACCGCAGCACTTAGAAAGGTGCAACATGAAGCAGACAAACCCTCGCCCAAGACCTGCGACCCCACTGTAAAACACAAGGCAGTAGATGGCTGCTGATGGGGGTCAAGTAGAAGCTGCTCTGGCCGGGCTCTGGCTTCAAACACAATGGTGGCAGGTTTTCATATGCAGAAAAGAGAAGGCAAAAGCACTGACGTTTCCCACTGCCCTCGCTCTGCTTGCCCTGCCTGCCACCAGCCAGCCCTCCATGTTTCCGCAGAGCCTCTCCAGCCTGGGAGCAAGAACTGTTTCCTCTGAGGCTGCTACTTTGGTGCAGGGTCTGCCAGTGTTTTTCGTCTCAGATGATTTACCTGGTGTTTGCCCGCCTTGTTCGCATACAGGGGAGCGGACAACCCAGTCACACTGCCTCATCCCAGGTACTGGTATTTGTGCCACTCTGAGCCCTGGAAGGAAATCTTTCTGGGTAACACAAGTCTGTGTCCCGTTCCCCTTTCTCTGCTCCATCATCCCAACCTAACAGGCCCTTTACAGCTGCACTGAGCACACCCCAGCAGCACCAAACTACACAGAAAATGTGATAAGGTCGCTGCCTAACAGCCGCAGGCAGCTGGCCAGGCAGGCTTGCTGCCCGTGTGACACCCCCACAGCACACCTGGCACAGCTCCTCCCTTGTCGTGCGTCTCACCTGAACGCAAACACGACACGACTGACTGCCCTTGGCTTCACACAGCCAGTCCTGGTGGTGACCTTGTGACAGTCACCGTCAGTACAGCCACTTTCACCCGCCTTCTCATCATCTTTGAAGATGATGAAGATGAAGCCATGGTCCCAGCCGCTTCTTACTCCCAGCACGAGATGGAGAGACCCTGCCTGCACGACAGCTCTGCCTGAGACAACTGTCATTTGAGTAGGGCAAAAGAATTAGCTGACAGGGTGGAGGTGTTGTAAGCAGTTCCCTTGCCAGGGAGAGAATAAAGGTCCCGTGTGAACGCTGGCCAGCCGTCTGCATGTGCCCCATCCCAGTGGGATGCCCCTGCCCACCTACCATTCTGCACCAGCTGCGCCAGCAAGTTGTCCTCCTGGATCGCGTAGGTGGCAAAGTTGTTTTTTAGCGCGTGCGAGCCGGTGGTGAGGCCCTTGATGCGCTGCATGGTGGCGGTGGGGGGATCGGCTCGGAAGCGGTAGAGGCGGGCATGGTGGGGCTGGGAGGTTGCGAGGTGGTGCAGGAAACTCAGCTTGTTCTCGTAGGGCAGCGGGCTGGCCTTGGCTGGGTTAAAGCGGGCAAACTCGAAACGGAGGGCATCGATGATGACAAGCACGGCCTTGGAGAAGCGCTGGGGCGCCC